TTCCATGCAGAATTACTGCCAATGGGACCAGAAGACTCCTGCTCACAGGTCAGTTTGTTCCCTCCTGGTAGGAATATCTGCACGGGAGCCAAATTATTATGAGAAGGCTGCTTGATGAGTGCAGGGAGAATCAGATAATGAGGGGATCTGAGCAGACTGTCTCCAAGCTAGCCAGGATGGCTGGAGGCCCTTTTCCCTACTTTCAGGATGGAGCAAACCTGCCAAGCCATGTACACATGTGCCTGTGCTTGGGCATCCTTCAAAAATAGGCCAGCTCACTAAAACAAGTTCAACCATAAGCCAAGTCGGCTAATGAGCCATTTACCTAAAGTGAGTATTTGTTAAAACATTTCGTGTGTGACTGGATGATTTCTGTAGCTTTCTGAGTCTTTTCTCCCTATGGTGACTGGTGACTGTTTTCTGTTGTGCAGTTCTTACACCTTTCTCCTCTTCGCTTCCCTTCCCTCTTCTTTTCCTGTCTTTCTTTCTTTCCTCCCCCCTCTTTCCTTCCTGCTTTCTCTTCTTATTTCAGAGATCTGTTTGCCCACTTGTCTAAGGTTGTCAACCTCCCCTAATTCATGCTCCCACCACCACACCATCTCCTAGAGCTAAGGACTGGTGGTTGTGTCTTGAGTGCTAGGGCAGCCATAAAGCCAGAAATAGTGCTGGATGGAGAAAATGAGTGGAGCAGAGAGAGAGAGAGAGAGAGAGAGAGACAGAGAGAGACAGAGAGAGAGAGAGCGAGCGTGTGTGTGTGTGTGTGTGTGTGTGTGTGATGGGTATGTTGAAGGGGGAGGAAGCTGAAGGGCAAGAGCCAGACACTCCAGAAAACTGGAACCACCCAGACCAAAGCAGCAGGGGCAAGACCATCAGCTGGAAATCAAACCAAGAGTCTAAAACGAGATAAGAGACTGGATTGAAATAAGGAGATAATAATAGTTGTTTTGTATTTCTATTGCCCATTACCTATCTTATAACTTTCTATTTTTCTAAAATTGCAGTATGTGCCTTTTGGAAACATTTGTGCAAGGTTGAATTTGCATAAATCTAGAGTTGCTCAACTCAGGGGGTGTTTTATTTATGATTCATCAACTTTCCCTTTTTTTCTTTTTAGCTTCTCCTTCCTGCTACTTATTGTTTGCATCTTAGACTTTTGTGCACTAGATGTCATTATTAAGCAAATTAACCCAAATTCAATGTTTGTTGCTCTGTAATGAGGCATTTCTGTGTTGACAGTGGAAGTGAAAAAAATAAGATATTCATTAGAAACATATTAAGCTCGATTTATAGCTTGTGACACCTAAAAGACAAAGTAATACTGGACTACAAATATTAACCCACATTACATTTTCAGGCTCTTTTAAACCAAATAAAGTCCGTCTTAACCAAGTAAAGTTTTTTCCACATAAAAATTATATATATTTGTATTTCTTTTCTGTTATTGATGTAGCAATCACAATTTAGTGGTTTAAGACAACATACCTCTTTTTATTTTTTTAAGTAAGATAGGGTCTGCCTCTGTTGCCCAGGCTCAAGTGCAGTGGCATGATCATGGCTCACTATGGCCTCAACCTCCTGGGCTCAAGAGATCCTCCCATCTTAAGCTCCTGAGTAGCTGGGACTACAGATGTACACCACCATGCTCAGCTAATTTTATTTTTTGTAGATGCAGGGTCTCACCACGTTGCTCAGATTGGTCTCGAACCCTTGGGCTCAAGTGATGCTCCTGTCTCAGCCTCCCAAAGTGCTGGGATTACAGGTATGAGCCACTGCACCTGGCCCACAAATTTATTATTTTACAGTTCTAGAGATCAGAAGTCTTAAAATCAAGGTGTCTTAAGAGGTGTGTCCCTTCTGAAGGCTTTAGGAGGAAATATTTCCTCATCATTCCCAGTTTCTGGAGGCCACCTGCATGCCTTCACTCAGGGTCCCTTCCTGCACCTTTTTTCTTCCCCCCATAACTGTACAGACTCTCATCTCTGTCACCCAGGCTGGCATGCAGTGGCTCGATCTTGGCTCACTGCAACCGTCGCCTCCTGGGTTCAAGCGATTCTCCTGTCGCAGCCTCCCGAGTAGCTGGAATTACGGGCATGTACCACCATGCCTGGCTAATTTTTGTATTTTTAGTAGAGACAGGATTTCACCATGTTAGCCAGGCTGGTCTCAAACTCCTGACCTTGTGATCTACCCATCTTGGCCTCCTGAAGTGCTGGGATTACAGGCATGAGCCATCATACCTGGCCTGCTAGCTATAATTCTTCAATAAATTATGAATTCAGGTCTTTACTTTTGGGAGTCTGCATTAGTCTATTCTTGTGTTGCTATAAAGAAATACCTAATCCAACCTGGGGAACATAGTGAGACCCCATCTCTAAAAAACAAATTAGCTGGGCACAGTGGCATGCACTTATAGTCTCAGCTACTTGGGAGGCTAAGGTGGGAGGTTCACTTCAGCCCAGGAGTTTGAGGTTGCAGTGAGCCATGATCGCACCACTGCACAACGAACCTGTGTGACAGAGAAAGAGAGAGAGAGAGAGAGAGAGAGAGAGAGAGAGAGAGAGAGAGAGAGAGAGAGAGAGAGATCCTGTCTCAACAACAACAAACCAAAAAAAACAAAAACAAAAACAAAAAAAGAAATACCTGAGACTAGGTAATTTATAAAGAAAAGAGGTTTAATTTGGCTCACAGTTCTGCAGGCTGTATAGGAAATGTGGGGCTGGCATCTGCTTCTGGTGAGGGTCTCAGGAAGCTTACAGTTATGGTGGAAGGTTAAGGGCAGCAGATGAATCATGTGGTGAGAGAGGAAGCCAGAGAGAGGGAAGGGCATGGTTGTAGACTCTTAAACAATCAAATCTCATGTGAACTAACTGAGCAAGAACTGACTTGTCACCAAGGGGTGTTAACCGTTCACAAGGGATCTGCCCTCATGATCCAATTACCTCCCACCAGGCAATCACATTGGGAATCGTATTTCAACATGAGATTTGGAGGGGACAAACATCCCACTCATATCATTCTGCCCCTGCCTCCCCAAATCTCATGTCCTTCTCACATTTCAAAATATAATCATGCCTTCATCATAGTCCTCCAAAGTCTTAACTCAGAAGTCCCAAGTCCCAGGTGTCATCCAGAGATGAGTTCCTTCCACCTATGAACCTGTGAGATCAAAAACCGGTTATTTGCTTCCCAGATACAACGGTGGCACAGGCATTGGGAACATTACTATTCTAACAGGGAGGAACTGGACAAAAGAAAGGGGCGACAGACTTTGAGCAAGTCCAAAACGTAGCAGAGCAGCCATTAAATCCTAAAGCTCCAAAATAATCTCCTTTGACACCATGTCCTCCATCCAGGGAACACTAGAGCAGGAGTGGGCTCCCAGGGCCTTGGCAGCTCCACTTCTGTGGCTTTGCTGGATGCAGCCCAGGTGGCTGCTCTGATGGGCTGGAGTCCAATGCCTGCAGCTTTTCCAGGCTGAGGATGCAAGCTGCTGCTGGCTCCACCGTTCTTGGGCCTGGAGAGTGACAGCCCTTTCCCAAAGCTCTGCTAGGAAGTGCCTTAGTGGGTACTCTGTGTGGGGGCTCCCACCCCATGTTTCCTCTCAGGGCTGCCCTAGTAGAGGTTCTCTGCCAGGACTCCACCACTTGGGCAGGCTTCTGTCCCAGCACCTAGGCTCTAAAATTAAAATGGAAGCTGCTAAGCCTCATTCACTCTTACATTCTGTGTGCCTATAGGCTTAAAACTGTGTGGAAGTTGCCAAGGCTTATAGCTTTCACCCTCTGAAGCAGCAGCCTGAGCTATATCTGGGCCCCTTTGAGCGTAGGCTGGAGCCAGAGCACCTGGGATGTGGGGAGCAGTGTTCTAAGGCTGAGCAGGACAGTAAGGCCCTGGATCTGGCCTCTGAAACCATTCTTTCCACCTAGGCCTTCAGGCCTGTGATGGGAGGGGCTGTCCCCAGGATCTCTGCAATGCCTTTGAGGCCTTGTGCTCATTGTCTTAGATAGTAGCACTTGGCACCCTTTTAGTCATGCTAATCCTGCTAGCAAGTGGTTGCTCCACAGCCTATTTGTATTCCTCTCTGAAAAATGCTTTTTTGTTCTCTGCCACATGGCTGGCTGCAAGTTTTCCAAACTTTTATGTTTGTTTCCCTTTAAAATAGAAGTTTCAACCTTCAGTCATTTCTTTGCTCCTGTATCTGATTGCAGGCTGTTAGAAGCAGGCAGACCAGTTTTTCGATACTTTGCAGCATAGAAATTTTTCTGCCAGACATCCTAGGTTGTCACTCTTAAGTTCAAATTTTCACAGATCCCTAGGACATGAACACAGTACAGCCAAATTCTTTGCTAGAGCATAACATGGGTGACCATTATTCCATTTCCCAATAACTTCCTCATTTCCTTCTGAGACCTTGTCAGCTTGGCCTTCAGTATCTGTATTTTATATTAGCATTCCAGTCACAACCATTTAACCAGTCTCTAAGAAGTTCCACACTTTTCCTTATCTGTCTGTCTTCTTCTCAGCCCTCCAAACTCTTATAGCCTTTGCCTATTACCCAGTTCTAAAGCCACTTCCACATTTTCAGGTATCTTTATAGCAATATCTGACTCCTCAGTACCAATTTTCTGTGTTAGTCCATTCTTGGGTTGCTATAAATATCCAAGACTGGGTAATTTATAAAGAAAAGAGGTTTAATTTGGCTCACGGTTCTGCAAGCTGTATAGTAAGTGTGGGGCTGACATCTGCTTCAGGTGAGGGCCTGAGGAAGCTTACAATCAGTGGAAGGTGAAGGGAAAGCAGATGAATTGTATGGTGAGAGAGGAAGCCACAGAGAGAGACAAAGGCGTAGTTCCAGACTCTTAAGCAATCAAATCTCATGTGAACTAACTAAACAAGAACTGACTTATCACCAAGGGGTGTTAACTATTCATGAGGGATCTGCCCCTATGATCCAATCACCTCCCACCAGGCAATCACATTGGGAATCACATTTCAGCATGAGATTGGAGGGGACAAACATCCAAACCATGTCAAGGTGAAAGTATTTTTAAAATCAGTTTGTCTAAGATCTATATATTTTTGAAAGTTTATGTAATGTTTGTAATACTTGCTATAATTATTTTTTCTCATTTGTTGTTTCTATACTTTTTTATATGTAGAAGTTTTAAATTTGTAGATAGTCTAATCTATCCACTTTTTTCTTCTTCTTCCTTGCAGTTTAAAAAATGTTCCTGTTCCAATGGTTAAATACATAGTACATTTAATATTCATGTAGTTTTTCTTATGACTTAAAAAGTGTCTCTTTGGTCCATCTGGAACTTACGTTGGTAAGAAATCCATGGAGAGGATCTGACTACCTGCTTAAATTATACCCAAAGGAGAAGCCGATTTGCACTTCTGAGTTTTCTGCAATGAGCCACCTGCCTTTTTCTCCTTGTTGAAAAGAAATAAAAATGATGACAGAAAAATGTGAAATGCTATGCTGTTTTCCTAGTCACAGGGAATAAGTTTTCCTTTTACTGAATCTAACTTTCTCCAAATGTTCTCATCTTCTGATTAGTATTTTAACTTAAAATTGAGACAGAAACAGGCTTGGATAGAAATAGACAGAAATAGCCTTAGATTGGTATTCATGGAAAGTGCTCAAAAGTGGGCAAATTAGGAAAAAGAAAAAAGCACCAAACTTTTAAAAAGTGTTGGAAATTATTCTCTCTGGTGTAAATATTGTACATTTAACAAATATAAATTCTGGATAAGTTGGTTCAGGTAAATTAAGCCAGAGCTGACAATCTTCCCTTAGGACAATAATCTAGACCAGCATTGTCCAGTGGAAATAAAATGTGGGCGATGTATGGAATTTTAAGCCTTCTAGTAGCCACATTAAAAAGGTAAATAGGATCAGGCAAAGGTAATCTAAATAATGTACTTTCTTTAACCCAATATATGAAAAATATTATTTCAACACATAATCTATGTTAGAATTATTAATAAGATAGTTTACATTCTTTTTTCATATTGTCTTTGAAGGCCATTGTTTATGTTATGCTTATGGCACATCTCAATTTGAATTAACCTCATTTCAAGTGTTCAATAGCTACATGTGGCTAATGGCTGCCATATCGTACAGAGCAACTTTAGACACAGGGACACATTTGGCTGTTTCACTCCTTTTTTTCTATACTCCACCCTGAGCAACGTTTTAAAAATGTCTTTTCTCAGGGTCTGATGTAGTTGAATTAGCTTTTGGTATCGTGTCGTTACAATCGTTTTAACTATTCTCCACAGAACTTGGGTGTTTCCCAGTCTTGCAGCCATGGTTTACAGACAATCGCTTGGTCACTGCTGCTAATCTGAGGTTAGCACTGAGGTTAATCCTTCCCTCTCTCACTCTCTGTGTCTGCCTTTGCCTCTGCCAATCCCCTCCCATTCATTCCCCTCCATTTTCAGAATAGAAATAGCTTTATTACTTTCTTCTGATTAAAAAAGTAATAATATATGTTTATAGGTTTTTTTTTTAAAGAAGCATGTGATCAAAAGGAAAAAAAATGAAAATTAACTGTAGCTTATTACACAAAGATAACCATTAGTAGCATTTTGGTAGCTTATCTTACAGTATTGCAAATGTACATTTATGAAAACACAATCATACCATATATATTATTTTTACTTTGCCTTTTACAAAAATATCATAGATATATTTGTATTAAAAAATATAAATTGACCTCATTGTTTTTTATGTTCTGCCTGGTATTCCCGATGCATATTTACCAGGCTTTATATAACCAGCCTACTATCGTTAGACCCTTAGGTTGTTTCTGATATTTCACTCTTATAATCAGTATGTCAGTAACATCCTTATTCATACTTCTTTGCATGAGTATATCATTTTCTAAGAAGAAATGTCTAAAGTAGGTCAAATTTTGATAGACAGGGCTAGACTGTTCTTCAGAAGGATTAGGCAATTTACATTCCTTACAACAGGGTGTGAAAATACTTGTCATCCTACATCTTGCCTGGCGCTGAGTAGTATCAATCCTTTCTAATCCTGTCCATTTTAGTTTGAATCTTCTTAACTTTATGCTTACAATTCTAGAAATATCTTAAACTTGATTGTAATATATGGAGAAGTTCAAAGCTTTGAGTCAAAGTATATACTGAATATCTCCAAATGACTTCATGTACATTAAAGGATCTAACCTGATGTATCAAACAAGATGGGTTTGGTTATGTTCAGGAAGCAACTCAAAATCAATTTCTTGTTCATGATACATATCCAGGGCAATTCAGCAGGGAATTTTGTCCATCATAGACACTTGAGAGCTCAGGCTGACAGAGGTCCAATCTGGATACTTGCTTCTAGAATCACCTTGTGAGGTGGAAGAGGACCTAAAAAATCATGCTCTGGTTCATAAAGCTTCCACCTCAACAGACCTAAGTCACTTCAGCACACATTTCACTTCCCAAAGGAAATCACAGGAACACATCTGACTTCAAAGAGGGTAGGAAAGTACAGACCTACACACACCTGGCAAGAGAACAGGACTTTCTGAGCATCCCTAATGACTGTCACATCTTGGAGAAAAGGATATACTACCAGGTACATATTATTATCCAAATGTCACAGATAAGAAAACAGAGACTTTGTGAGTTTAGGAAATAGCTCAATGCATTTCTCAAGTGGGTGCAGTGGCTCAAGCCTGTAATCCCAGCACTTTGGGAGGCCAACCAAGAGGATTGCTTGAGCCCATGAGTTCAAGATCAGCCTGGGCAACATAGTGAGACCCCATCTCTACACAATATAAAAAAAAATTAGTCAGGTGTGCTGGCATGCACCTGTAGTCCCAGCTACTCGGGAAGCTGAGGTAGGAGGATCACAGGAGCCCGGGAAGTTGAGACTGCAGTGAGCTATGCTCACACCACTGCATGACAGAGCGAGACCCTGTGTCAAAAAAAAAAAAAAAAAAAAAAAAAAAAGGTAGCTCAAGGCTACTTAGCCAGTAAGCAGGGATTATAATTATCTTGATTATAATTTAGGTCTGTCTGATTTCAAACACATGCCCATTGTAATACTTTGTCCTCTTAGGAGCGTCAGCAGCATCTTCAAAAAGAAGGCCAGGCTTTGGGACATACATCCCCTTGTAGTTCTGTGTCAGTGCAGGGTTCTCAGATTCTCTGGGACTGTTTCTCTCAGTCGACACATCAAACGCATCATTGTACTTTGTCCTTGGTAGGCCTTCCTGCTTCCCATGTGACAAATTCTGCCTGGAGTCAGTTCTGTTGTGGCAATTGTTCTGCAAAAGTGTCCACTGCGATGTCCTTCTATAATACATATTTTGGCCTCTCATTTGTAAGCATAACAGTATCACTGCATTGGGGATGTCTTCTTGCAAATATTCGATGCTCTGACCATATTTCAATGGAAAATAGGTCCAAAGAACATTATTTTGGACAACTGTGTAGGTCTTGATAACGTGCAAGCTTCTCATCTGTGTGCATTTTGTGTTTGGCCATCATATTCTAGGAAAAGGAGACTAAGGTTTTTCGAGAAGCCACTGTGTGTCAGGCGCTGTTCTAAGCATTTTCATATATTTTGATCCTCCTTTTTTCTTCATAACAGCCCCTCTAAGGGAGGAGCGGTTATTCAGAGGTATAATTGTCTAACCAAATGAGATAATGAAAGTCAAAAATAGATTTCTCGTTTCAGATTTCTTAGTAGGATAACAACTATGATAATTACTCTCATGGAGAGTTTTTCAGCTTTTGCAGGACATTTATAATTTCTGAAAGGTGTGTTTGACCATCTCTCTAGTATTTGGAAATGGGTATTGAACTTGAGAGCATATCATTTAGGATTCTCTTATATGTGAGCAATGGAAAACTCAGCTCATCTTGGCATTGGGTAGTGAAATCTCAGAGCTATGGAATTTCACTAAAGTGTGCTGAAGTCTCCAGAACTACTAATCTTTTAATATGAAATTCTTTGACAGATAATTTCATCATGTGTGACAGATTTTTATTAAGCAAATGCTCCTTGGAACAATTAGCAAACTCTAGTCATTTTTTTTCATTTTTATTAACAGCAGTAAAAAATAATACCAACTATTCAGTGTGTGTGATATACACTTTTTACACTGTGCTAAGCATTACCTCATTAGACCCTTCCAATAACCCTATTATTGTTCCATTTATTTTGTATTTTTTTTATTTATTTGATACAGAGTCTTGCTCTGTTGCCCAGGCTGAAATGCAGTGGTGTGATCTCAGCTCCACCTCCCTTCAGAAAAATCCTTCAAGTGATTCTTTTGCCTTAGTGTCCCGAGTAGCTGGGATTACAGGTGCCCGCCATTACACCCGGCTAATTTTTCGTATTTTTAGTAGAGATAGGGTTTCACCATGTTGGCCAGGCCGGTCTAGAACTTCAGACCTCACGTAATTCGCCCACCTTAGTCTCCCCAAGTGCTGGGATTACAGGCATGAGCCACCGCACTCCGCCCATTGTTCCCATTTTATCCATGAGAAACTTGAGAGTCAGAGGAGTTCAGAGAGATTCCCAAGGTCACATCATTAGTAAGTGGAGGCAGTAGGATTTGAATCTGGCTCAGTTTAACTTCTGAATCCATGCTCTTTTCTTATGGCTAGAAATTCTAGTGTTTTGTATCAGTTATAACCAGCATCATTATAATTAACCACATTTGCAAAGTGTATGCTATGAGCAGAAGATAGAGGAGGAGAAATCAGACATGGTCCTTGTCTTTAAGATCCTCAAGTCTAGAAGACAGCATGTCTGTAAATGATGCAACAACGTAAAGCAATGACATGCTGAAAGCAAGAACTGGAGGGACTCAGGGGCAGGAAAAATCCCTGGGGATGCTAGAAAAGCTTTATTGACAAACTGGGACGTTATTTGGATTCTAATAAATGGGGGCTGAAAAAAATATGAGGAAAGCAGAGAGAAAAGGCCCTGGAGGAAGGGGAAGGATAAGAGTAAAGCCCTGAAGATGGGAGCGCAGTTGGTATGCTGGAGGAACACTAGGCATGGCTGTTTGACATGAGTGGAGACTTTGGGGAGCAAGAGACTCATTTGGCCTCGGGCACCAGTTAAGAATGCAGTCTCCTCTATGAAAATTAATCAGGTGCACACACACAAGTGTGTCTTCTTTGTAAGCAAGGACTTTGCTCCCTCAGAAACCACTGGGGTCTCACCCCCTAACAGAGTTGAGCATCCATGATACCTTTTATCAGTAGAAAGCAGTAAAGACCACTTTGGAGTCCCTCAGGCAGTTTAAGAATTCCCGCTTTCTTTACTATTAGCTGTGTAACTCTGAGCAATGAAGTTAAACAACTGAGCCTCCGTTTCCTCCTCTGTGAGGTGGGATAATAGTAGCTCCGAACAGATGAGGACTGAAAATATAATACACGTGAAATGCGTTGAGCTGTTTGTCGCATATGTGCACAGAACGTGATTCCT